CACTAAAAATACATTTGATCTGAGGAAATATGTGGAACAGAGTAAGGCTTGCTACCTGTAGTTGAGATGCAGTGGTCCTCGTTCCCCTCGCAGTTCAGAGTTGCGGTGCACGTTTGTCCGTCGCATTGGAAGCACTTCCTACCATTGGGACTGGACCGGCTGGGCTCTGTAAGAACACACATTGTTCATTTCGATTGAGGAAGTAGAGCGGGGTGGAGAGGTGACTGCACTCTTCTTCCTCAGGGCCTTTTTCAGAGCTTTTTTGTCAGGCAGACTTATTGCAGACAAGTTGAAATAACAGCTTTAATTGTTTTGCTCTCTCTCGCTCTCTCACTCACTCACACTCACACTCACACCCACACACACACACACACACACACACACACACACACACACACACACACAAATTGTTTCGTGTAGCTCAACTGTGGCAGTTGGAGGTTGGCGATTAATCGCATGATTTTCTGAAGTTAATCCCGATTAATTGCAGTTAGGCAAAATTCAATAATGAATTCAAAAGTAGTGTATTGCGAACTTTTATTTTAAAAGTACTGCAATATGAACAAAAGTGCAATAACATTTGCTTTACACAACTTTAAACAAATAAGTTGCTTTTTAACAGCAGTATTCCCTTTACACAGTAGCAGTTAAAATAATTCTTCCACTATCTGTGCTAAGTGTGCTGCAGAATGTCTCTGTCTTCATTACAGTCAGAGCATGTGAATGCAGCTCCCACTGTCCATCAATATAAAGCACTGTAACTCTGGAGTAACTATGGTTACCCAGCGATGCCCAGTAGTCTCCAGTGAGAGCAACAGTTGGTGCACGTTGTAACGCCGTCGCTTTTGTAGTCCTCTCCTTTTCATAAAACTCGTGCATTCTTGGTGCGTCTTAGGGAGGCTCATAGTGCCGTCATTCGTTGCGATCCTATCTTCCTCAATACTAATCGGCCTGCAGTTTGAAGCTATCCACTTTGCTATGGCATTTGTTTATCTATACTTCTCCCACACGCTGCGTCCAACGTAGTCTGCCGAAGCCTCCCTCCCCTCCTGTGACCCATGGTTTGTCTGGATGTGTATTCAGAGCCAGTGAGCAACGGATTCTCAAAATAATAAGAATAGTAAAAAAACTGCGTTGATGCGTTGATTAATTAATTAATTAACGCGTTAACTTACCCTAATATATATGTATTTAAAAAATTAGATTTTATATTTTAGTCAATAAAGTCAAACTTGTTTTATTATATTATTCTGACATCTGAAATAAGCCAGTCATGGGGAGAGAGCAATTTTCAAATTCAAAACTGCTTTTGCAACTAACTGATGATTTTCAACAACATTGGCTCTCAGTACAAAGACACATCTTAAGGAAATAGACAATATAAGTAAGTTACCAGGAGCAGGTTGGGTGTTGCAGAGATTGGAGTTGCAACACTTGCTGGTGATTACGGTTTTGGAAACTCCGAAGTTCATTGAGCCCTCACCACACTCTTCAGCCGCAGCACAACTTTTCATGTGGGCATCAACAAGTTTTGAACCACCTGCAACAAAACAGTAACCTTTGTGAACTTGGCCAGTGCAAAACTGTTAACAATAAAAAACAATGCACCTCAAAATACCGCACCTGCATATGAAGTTTTTCTTATCGCTGCACACTGTGCAGGACATTCTTTTTGTGTGTCTGTGCAGGTTCCTCGGCTTCCCATTGGACACTCGTAACATGTTAGAGTGTAGGCTGATAAAACACAAAACTCAGATCAGTATAAAAAAAGAAACTTTTCTTTTTAACAAGGAATTTGTTTTCAACTACAACAGAATAGAAAAGATGCCATCTGTGCACAAACTACAATTGAAGAATAACAGGTATAGCAGTGACAAGTAAAAGTAACTAACAGCAATATAACATAATTATAGGATGTGGACATACTGTTATGTGACATGTCATGTAATCTGCCCATGTCTGGAGCATTTGTAAAGGCAAATGTGTTAATTGTAAATTAGAAAGATTAAACAGTTAAAACAACAGATAACAGAGCAAAAACTTGCCTTTATGGAGAAGCACAGTCCCAAAGAAGAGAGTCAGGAGATGCATTTTGAGATTAGCTGGATACAACTGAGTTTGGTTTGATCTGTTACGACAATAAATAGTCCACCAGAAAAGGAGGGGTCTCTTCATACTGAAACTTACTGGAACTTACTTACAGATCTGGGCCAATGAGCTGATCGAGAGCAAATCCAATGAAGTACTTTTATACACAAAACCAAAAGTCACTATGTAAATAGTAGAAAGTCATCAGGCATAATGTGATTACTAGTGAAAACAAAGGCACGCACACAAGGAGGGGGGCTTTTACGTTAACAAGGGGACAGGAGGCTGCTCTCTGACAGTGAGTGATTAGTAAGTTTGCATTGCCCCGAATGTATATTTCAAAGTTTGCACTCATCAATCCATACTTAAGTCTGCATTCTTCATCACACTCCATGGTACAGAACTTACACAGTTGTATGCAATAACTTGGGCACCCCTTGACAAATAACAACAAATAGCAAACATTCATGCTTAGTTATGTTTTCTATCATAAACTGAACAAAAAATAAAAAATAAAGCAAAACACCTTTTTGGCATGTGCAAAAATGTTAGTACCGCCTTCTGACAAACACTTTTTGTAGCCAGCTGTAGTCAGCTGGCCCTCCCATGTGCCTAAAATCACATGAAATAAGGGAATATAAATATAAATTAAAGCTGCAAGCAGCGTTGGGCGGGACCTCGCACTCCACGCAACTCGGGGCGCGCTGCGGACGCGTCGCGTGCCGTCGTAACACGTGCGGACCACAACACGAAAATGTCACGTACATCAACTCAAAATCGCCACGCAGCGCTTACCACCTGTTGCCGGAAGGTGGCGCTATTGCTATATCTTAATATTGTCATGTAGACAAGTTCAGGGCGGGACTGTTGTAACACACGTGAATTTTCATTGAGATTGGACCACGTACGCTGAAGTTATGAGGACGTGTTCAGGGCGAGACTGTTACAGAATATATGAAGTTCACTGGAGATTGGACATTGCACACTGAAGTTATGAGTGGCATTTCATGGCGAATCCGCTGAATTTGACAAGTCGTCACTGGCACGGTCATTTCACGTAACGCAGCACAAAATCGCCACGCAGCGCTTACTTCCTGTTGCCAGTAGGTGGCGCTATCACTATGTCTGAATATTGTCATGTAGACGTGTTCGGGGTGTGACTTATCAAACACGTGAAGTTTCATTGAGATTGGATCATGTACACTGAAGTTATGAGGACGTGTTCAGGGTGGGACTGTACACTGAAGTGGAGTACTATCTGTTTATGGTGACTGGTCGAAATTCAACGCAACGCCACGGGCACGCCGTTTGACGGAATGTCGTAAATAGCACAACTTTTAATCATGAATGTCTTTAGATTGCGCTGATTAAATCTGAAGTAGATCCAATAAATTCCCTAGGAGGAGTTCGTTCAAATACAACGCGAAAAATCACAGAAAATGACCAAAAAACTCTAAATGGCTGAGTTTGATGCCAAGCCACGGACACGCCGTTTGACGGAATGTCGTAAATAGCACAACTTTTAATCATGAATGTCTTTAGATTGCGCTGATTAAATCTGAAGCAGATCCGATAAATTCCCTAGGAGGAGTTCGTTCAAATACAACGCGAAAAATCACAGAAAATGACCAAAAAAATCTAAATGGCTGACTTTGATGCCACGCCACGGACACGCCCTTCAACGTACATGCACAAATAGCACAACTTTTAATCAGGACCATTTTTTGAGTGTACTCACAAATTTTGAAGCATATCCGATAAATTCCCTAGGAGGAGTTCGTTCAAATACAACGCGAAAAGTTCACCGAAAGTGAAACTTTAAATCAAAATGGCCGACTTCCTGTGGGGTTTCGGGTATGGGTCCAAGAGGCTTTTTTGTACGTCCCGAGATTCTAAACGGGCCTACCAAGTTTCGTACATATCGGTGAAACGTGGCGCCGGGGCTGCTGTTTATTTATCCTGTAGGGGGCGCTACACACAGGACAAACACGATTTTTGATATGTGAGCTTCAGGCACTACTCTACACGTACCCTGTGAATTTCATATTCATAACTATTACGGTATTCGCACAGTGATTTTTCATGCCAAAAGAGCGCCACCTAGTGCCGTATTTAGTTTTTCCTTTTTAAGGGAGCCTCATGGAGCCAGGGGGAAGCATCATACCAAGTTTCATCTTAATCACATATACCGTTGTAGAGATATAAACTTCTTCATTTTAAAGAGCGCCACCTAGTGGCAATGGCCTGAAATTGTGCACGATGCTTAAGGAAGACATGTGGAACTATGGACCCAAGTTTGGTGTCAATCGGACATACCAATGTGGAGAAATGGTCCACTTCCCTTTTTGACGAAAAATATACAGGAAGTTGGAATTTTAAAGCGTGCTTATTTTTTTAAATTTCAAAAATGTTCAAATTAGCCTTTTTGCCAGGGCGGTCCCCAGGTAGTAGGTGAAAAATTTCGTGCGAATCAAAAAAAGAGTGTAGCAGGAACACTTAAAAGTAGTTTATGGACATTTTGCGCTCTAGAAAAAAAAAATTCTAGGCGGAAGTGGGCGGGGCTTATATGGGGAGATTCAACTCCATTCACCGAACACGTGGATGTAAGTTTTTTGAATGTGCGACAAACTATGCAGAAGTTATTAGCCTAAACGCATTTTTTATGATAGTAGCGCCACCTAGTGGCAGACCCGAAAGCGACGCATGTAATATCCCCATTTTCACCAGGCCTGACCACTTTGCCAAATAAAATTGACTTTTCGTATATGTTCAGGGGGGCAAAAATGCAGTCAATAGGGGCTAAAAATAATAGGTAAGAAGAAGAAGAAACATTGCAAATACAATAGGGACCTCCAGCGGTCGCTTGCGAGGTCCCTAATTAAAAATTCTATATTAATTCTGTCTGTTTGCAGGTGCAGAAAACTACAACCACATCATCATTCCCACAGTGGTGGGGATCGGTACTGCTGTGCTCTTTGGAGTCTTCTGCATCTTAATGGTGAAAAAATACAAGTGAGTAATGCAGTACATTGACATTAACTGATGCATTGATGGACAGAGCACATCAGATAAGTAATAACACATTTGAGCCAAAATAATCTATTGTCCTGCACATATGTAGTATGTGCTCTTCAATACGTTTATTGTATTAATGTATGGCATTCATTGTCTTTGTTTTCTGTCTGTTCTAGGACACGCATTGCAGAGCTCTAACGTCGAGATGGCAGGTAAAAATGGTGTACAGCGGATTAAGTTCATGGTGCTACACTGATATCACATGATTTCATTTCTTTTCCTTATCATAATGTCATTTTCTTTAATGTTTAGCGTGTTGAAGCGGCTGTCCAGGATGTCTCGCAGGTGAGGTTAAAAAAAAGTGGTTTGTGATTATTACAAGTACAAGAATATTATTATCTTAGTAACTTTTAATCGTACTAATGTATAATTGAATCTGTGAATCCTGTGAATTTTCAGGATTCGTTCCGATGGCCCAGGACCATCTCGTTCTGATCAAAGGCAAGAGGCATTTTAACGGTTATCTCTCTAAACATCATTTTAGTGACTAGTTCTGTACTCTCCCTACTTCCACTTTGTATAGACCGCCCCACTGTAATTTCCTTGTTCGTGCAGAATGTGATAAGATCAGTACTTTTATGTATATGCCTCACAGCATTTGCATATTTTCTCTTCTTCTTTTTGGGCAGAAGGTCTATTTGGAGCAGATTTTCTAGGTAAGAAAAACAGCGTGCTTCATTGCTCAGTTGTTTTCACAGCAATGCACTTTTGTCCTAATGAAACTAGCACATATCACATCCTGTTTTTAAACTGAATCTACCACAGAAGGCCTAAAGGGGAAATGCTGGATTTGGACCATATGTAAGTGTGAGAAATGTATGAAAGTTAAGTAGCGAATTGTAGTTTTTCACACTGTGTAGTGACATGAATTTTTATCCTCGTTTCCCACCCCCCAAAAGGTACTTGCTTCTCTTGAACCTGACCAGTAAATAAAATGTGGATATCATATATTGTAGTACAGCAACGTCTCATGTCCTTTCCCCACCTCTGTCTTCTTGTTAATGCTGTTGATGGGACTCAGCCAGCCAAAATCCTGCAATTACAATGAGGTATTATTAAATCGTCAGGGATTTATTCCAGAGAATTACATTGGTTACAAGGCACTATCAACATCTGTAACAATAATGACCATTAATCTCTCACAGGACCTTGATGATGGTGACGATTACATGAACACTGTGGAACTCAACATCTATGGAAACATCTGAAAATAAAGCCCTCCAAAGAGAGTTTGTGATCAAAGCAAACAACAAACCTAATCACGCTCATAATAATCATTGTGTATTAACCACGTCTGATGATTGTAGTTTTAATTATTTATGACTGCTGTGTTAACCTCTCCTGTTAAGCAAAATATATTTAATTGTGTCAAGTAAAATGCATTTTGAACATATGTTTATTGCATTTATTACAATGTCTACCATTATAATGTTACATAGCAATAATCAAGCAACTTTGTTAAACCAGTGTATTTGTTTGTTTGTTTAGGCATGGTGTCATTATTGTTGGGCCTAAACAGTGTTTGGAAAGTTACTGAAAAATTGTGAATTGTTAATTACTAGTTACTTCTCTCGAAAGTAATTGAATTACTTTTCCAATTACTGCATGTAAAAGTAATTAGTTATGAGGGAAGTAGCTTTCTTGTTACTTGTAAATGTCTGTTTCAATGATCTTATTAACACACACTGCTGTCAGCTATTTCATTATTTTAATGTTTCAGTGAGACAAGACAAATGTATCTGTTCAGTTAGTCCGAACCACCAGAGAGCAGAGTGCTCCTACCTGTAAGCTACACTTATTGTCTTTGTTAGTAGACGGGAGGATTTAGTCGAAGAATTGCACATTAACCAACAGCTACCATAAGAAAAGTGATCGCAAACTGGAAAATCAGGGGGATACACTTGGATTTACTGGGGTGGTCTGCCATCTTCTGCTGTTGTCCAGATAAAACATAAGTAATGTTGAGGAATCTCTGTATTTCAAAAACTCATTCCTTGCGCATTCTTTTAATGAAGCAATAGGAGAAGATTTAGTTTACTCAATAATCAGCTTTATTCTTAACACCAGTAGAATGTGCAAAGTTTACAGAGCTCTGGGTTCAACTAGGGTTAACCTGACAGGCACAAGGTCTACCAGTTCACAAAGTCTGAGCAACCTCTTGTTCCTAACATCAGTTCTTATATTTTTGCAGATGACACACATAGCACCAGATGGAGGAATCTCCACCCCTCGTCCACTTGGTATCTCGACTCCAGGAATGGTGTTGTTGGGGTAGCCACAACCTGGAACTGGAAGGAGTCCGTCTGGCTCCATCACTGATACTGACTTCGGAGGTCGTGTTTACCGCTATCTCTCCAAAAGAATGTCATGTTATCAACTATCCACACTCTTCTCCCTTATACTGTGCCTGCTATTCATATTCATTAGTAAGTTATAATTCTATAACACATCATACAAACATCTAAAATTCCCTTAACAGCCCTTTATCAATGTAAGCATAATCTATGTAAGTACGAGTAAACATATTTCTATTCTAGTAAATAATCATACAGGTAAAGTATAAATCACAGAATATCGCAACAGTAACAAGAAACAAACTCATTTAAATTTCAGGGATTGTAATTGTGTTATTTACCTTAAAAACATAATTCGTTATATTACTAGTGATGGCCAAAAGTAGTGGAACTACAATTACACGTTACCTTTAAAAAACACACCTAAAACAAAATGCCACAGTAAGATTGAATTCAATGAGTTGACTCCAAAGGCATGAAATAAAAACAAAAAAGGGATAAGAATTGAATAAAATAGTTTGAACAATGTGTAAAAATGTATAAAAACCTCTCTCTTTCCCAGCAGTCTGATACTGAACCTTATCAAAGAGGCAAAATGCTGACGTGACTCTCTGAATTCTTCCTCTTTTTCTAAAATCTCGAGTGTGAATAACCTACATATAACCTTTGTACCATGCAGCTGTTTTTTTTATTTATTTATTTATTGTTGTGGTTATTGTCCCCCAGTATTATATATTCAAGTATCCAGGAACAATAAAGTGCTACAAGCAGCCATCAATGTCATGGACAAGGACTTTTTTCCCCTTTTTTTCCCCTATCTATGTTGCATTCATATTTTGGGGTTTGTCTTTTTTCTTTTCAACTTTTTATTTAATATTTCTCTTTACTGTTTTTGGCCAGTGCTGTTTTTCAAATGTGTATAATAAAATAATAAAGTCTTCAAAAACAAAAAAATGATTGTGCCTATGAACTCATATATAGAGTTGATAGAGTAGAT